TCATCCAAGGGAGCTCACCCAGAGCTGTTGTCCAGCGCTGTCATCCTCACCACGCCTGGTTGATATCGTATGTGCCAGCGATGACCGACATGACGTATTCGGCCGCTTTTCAACAGCATGCTCGGGTCCAGAGATGGTCAGAATGCGATCCTCTTTGGAGCCACGGGAACTGCGGTTATCTGCGGTAGAGTAGAGCGATGGGCTTCATAAACGGTGCCCTTGGGTCACTATTCAATGCTGGTGCTTTAGCCACTTACTGTGCGGAACACTAAGCGATGACTAAAGGGGTTCCCCACGACCATAGGGAGAATTAGAAGATGCGAATGGCAACTGCATGATATTCCAACAGAGGTTTTCAGCGGTAGAAGCTGCAGCTAAGACTACGCTCAAATTCGAACAGTGACCACCTCCGGCAGCCCCTACCGCCCTGATAGGAATAACTTCATAGAGATGCGCGGCAGTCGATGGTGATGATGATGATAATGAGTTCACACGGACTTACCAACTTGTAGCTTAGCTCCGGTGTCGGCCTCGATAGTTTTGATAACAGACCCCTTAGGGCCGATAACACTGCCCACGTGTATGTAGGGTAGAGGGATCTCCTACAGAGAAGATTGACTGCGAGCACCGCCGATTCGACTACCTTCCGTATTTCCTTGCCACCAGCCTGCATGAGCTGCTCATCAGTGTAGTCATCCCAGTTGCCGACCATCGCTTGAACATATGTCACCGCACCATCGACGCAGGTCTGCGTGGCTGACAACACAGCGATGTGGGCGAACCAGTATGCGTGTGCCCTACGCCCTGATATCTTCACTCGAGCAAAGCCCCCCGGCTGCCCTGGTTGGCACTGGATCTTGCACAGTGTAGTGCTCTGCAGCTGGTTGATGGTCGCCCCACGGGGCCCGATGATCTGAATAGGGGCTCTATAAGCAAGGACGGCACCGGGCCAGTCCACTCACCCTTCCCATCACTGAGTGCGGGCACTTCACTTCACGAACAAACTCCTCAGGAAGTGATGATGCTATTATGGCACCATAGAACTTCGAAGCGCTATTCTCCCCTATACAAAAACGATACCTCGCGTTATATCCCTACTATCACCTCCAGGAGTGATATCTAGCCGAGCCGGAGGAGTAGTAGGCATCGGTGGACGACCGAGAGGTCCCTGCTGGGCCGGTGACTGCGAGGTCTGTGGTTGCAGAATCACCCCCTGCTGCTGGGCACCTATCGGGATCTCATAATAACACGGCAGGAAAAGTACTCACTTGAAGTGACTCTCGCCGCAGCGGCAGCAGCAGCAGCTGCAGCTGCCTTGGCCACCAACTCTGCTATGGCCGGCTTCTTCTCAGGCGGCAGACTAGGAGCCTCGTCACCACCACTAGCAGAGCTCTGATCCAATCCACGTTTTACCCCCGTTGATGTCCCGTCGGAGGCTGCCATACCACTGCTATCCATGGAGTATGACACCACTGCCCGAGTAACGTAAACTACCCTCCCTAGACATCTAACACAACTACGCCTCGTCAGGAAAAGTCGGACCGCAACGACGACCCCGATGTCGAAAACCTTCGTAAAACTGAGTGGTGCGCATGGTCTCTAACGCGCGGTGGTTTGTGGGGTCCGACTCACAGTGGTGGACGTGAAAAACATTCATTTTTACCATGAATGTTGCTTGTGATATACTTGATGGTCACACTAAGTGTCGTTGTCAAAATGTACGTTGTTTAGAAATTCCAGGCTCTTCAAGTTGTCCACGAAGTTTTGAAGCACCCTTTATGCTGAACACAATAGGCCTGTATAACCTTGGCACCTGTAACTGGCAACGACATTGGCGCACTCCATTTCATAGTAGACATTTGTGTTCCAGCGATGTGAAGGGAAACGATAGTAGATGTCTCGTATGTGCTGCGGGAGCATAACGCCCAAGCCGCCGAGCAGTAATGGCCATACCACTCCTTGAGAAAATACAAAGTTTTGTGGTAGTGGTAATCAGGTGAAACTGACAACTTGAAGTGAAACGGAGGGAGTGAAGACAGTATGAAGCAGTAGGCATATCAGAGCAGCCTAGATAAGATTCAAGACAACTTCCTACAGCGTGTCATTTCTGAGAGCTTATCCTAGGCAGCGCAATAGATGCTCCTGCCCCTGGCTAGTCCCCCCTTATTTTAACGCTTCTCACCTTCGTTCACCTCAGTTCACAGCGGCGACAGTAATCATGGAGAGTGAAGGTCTCCCAAGAGAGCAAGTTCACGGATAGCCGAAAGACAGATGACGGAATTTCAAGAGAAAAGCAAGACGTCAAGTCGTTGCTAAAGCAGTGATCCAGTCTGATCACCTTCGGACCACACACCCAAGTACAGAGAAAGTTCCTCCAGAGTGCTTGAGACTTCCTGTTGGAAACCCTCAAGCACTCTTAGTTAGGCATCAGACGAGCTATCTTGGGTGTGACGGTGTTTATATTTTTTACCTCTTTCTTTCTTCCTTTCAGTCTTCTTGGTTCTTTCCTTTCATCCCTTTGCTTCTTTTCTTCAGGTTCATCGAATATCGTGTATGAAGTGGCAGGTTTAAGACTAATTTTTCTATCATTGTGCGGTTTCACTTAATATGTTGTGTTTTAAGCACTGACTGGGACTTGGTAGGGAACCAACGTGGCCCAGTCATGTGCCGCCCTGAAGTGGCAGGTCAAATATAGGCTGGGATCGCTATCCCTACAGCACCGACCTATGGCGTAGGGTCCGAACCATTGGGACGTCAACGAATTGTTGATAACAATATCACATGGTCGACACCATGATTGAGTCACTCCCTTAGTGGCTGGATGGTGGGGTAAAGAACGACAAGCGGAAGCTGTCGTGACTCTCGAGGTGGTCTCGAGTAGTAGCCCTGCCGGGATCATCCCGGCGGGATGTTAGTCTCATCATGAGACCTGGGTTCTGTGCGTCTGTGTCTCGGGGTTAGACCAAGCTGATACCCAGAGTTGATCGGGCTAGAGTGGCTCTACGAGTTTAGGACGGCCGCCTCGCGTGGCTGACCACTCGTCGACTTGCCTCCGTGTCCGCTCAATCTCTCGTTGCCCTAGAGACAGTGACTGCGACACTGTGTTCTCCACCGAGGCTCGGTGCCCGAGCTGAGGACCTTAGCTTAGCGTGCCAGGCTAGGCAGAAACTCCGCCACAGAATTCAGCTAGACGAGTATTGGGTCATGCTACGATTTACGTGAGCTGGTCGCAGATTGTTTTTATATTTCTACCACGTCCAGCACGCCCGACCTCTTCCGCGAAGTTTTCCCCGACTTGGCTGAGAAAGCGTCGACTGTTTGTGTCGACATGGGTATTAGTACTGTGGGTGTGCTCGAGGCGGCCCTGGAGGACAAGGAGCTGACCGACGAACTATTGAGAAGGTGTGCAGATGGGGGACTCGACGGAGAGTCCGGAACAACCACTATGACGGAGGTAGCCGATGCGGAGTCTGCCAGCTCATCCACCAAAAGTCCCGGTACTGCCAGCGAAGTCGTCGATGCCAACAAAACTATGGTGGTGGTGGTGGTGGTGGTGGTGTCGTCGTGATCGAGATCTTCTCGAAGCTGAGGAAGGCACGGTTGCTTACCTGAGCCGGTTGCTCTGGTTAGCGAGGTCACGATCGTTCGAGGCAGCAGTCGAGTGTGATAAGGGTTACAGGCTGGCCTTGCCACAAGGGGTCACCCGCCTGCGGGACACTGACCCTTCCCTCCAAGTCGACTCAGCCCTCGGTACCTATTTAAGATCCAATCAGTCTCACGAGTTGATAGCTGTAGCCTTGGCTAAACCGGCGGTGAGCCAATCTGGCATACCCAGGCCATCTTCGGGCAAGGGTATACGTAGGCAAGGGAGCGCTATGCACTTCGGTGCTGACACTTGCCGTTTCACTCGCCAATCCTGTCCCTTCGGTAAGGATTGCCGTTATCGTAAACATTTCGGCGACCCCCAATCTAAGCCTTATTGACAGAACGGTCAAGGTGGGGAGAAGGACAGTAGCTTCTTGTCTGATAAACGCCCTAGGACTGGGCAGGTGAAGGATGAACCATCAAGGAAGAACCCCAAGGACCAATAGCTGCGGCATTGGTTTGGTGCCAATCCAACACTGTTGAAGCTGAGTTTCCGCCATTTTCGGAAGTTTGATTATCACGTAGTCAAAACTGGTGGCTGTTGCGTTGCGTCAGTGCCGTTCCTAGTGGCCATAACACCATAAATGGAACGGAAGAAACGTCGTTCTCGGAACGACTGTCGTTCAGTTTGGTTCCCACTTAACAAAGAGACTCTTCTTTGGGAAATGCCACACGTGAGGTCTACCCAAGCGAAGAAACAGCGAGATAGGGGCAGAAAGTTGGGCAGCAAGCCTGAAGATCACCCTTGGAAGACGTCGACCCAGGAATTATCAGCCGCAGCGGTGGAGGGAAAGCCTCGAGATGGCCCCGGGTACTCAGGGCAGTGGGACAAGTTCGAGTTTCGAGAATCTGAGCTGCCATTAATAGAGAGTACTTCTGGGATTCTAATTAAGCACACAGAGAGGTTCTGTGCGGCCCGAAAGGACTTCTTAGATCGTTTCTTCGCCAGGTCTCGGGAAGAGCAATCCGCGATGAGTGTGGAGTGGAAAGCCAATGATGGAGCTTCCCTCAATAGTGTGGCCAAATGATCTCCTTGAGGACTTGACCACTTTCATCTCGGTCGCGAAGGACATCAATAAATCGGAGCTGGGAGAGCTGGCCGCTCCCCCCCCCGTCCTCTCTACGCGCTAGACAGCTAGAAGAACTCTGCCTCATTACGGCCCCTGGTAAAGGAGCAACGACGGAGTCGCCCGGTGAAGACGCGGATATCTGCTGGATGGTAGCTGAGGGAGCACCAATTGGCATCTTGATCCCGGTTCGAGTAAATGCGGAATGGCCAGCAGTCGATACTGACAAGCTTGGCAAACCAAAGAAGGATGAGCCGTCCTTCGTGCGCTGGCCTGGCGAAAAACTCGAGGAGCTGAGGCTACGCGACTGGCCGCAGGGCAGCATTCCTCCAGATATGTATAGGCTGTTCGAAGAGCTCATAGCGAAGGAGCTTCGGCTAGGCCGGTTATCAGAGATTAATCCGACGAGTCCAGACTGCAAGGCGTTGTCGAAAGTTCATATGATGTGGAAAAACGGGAAGGAATTTAAAGCCATCCGACAATTGGACGACTTCAGGAGGAGTGGTATCAATATTACCGTACGTACTGGAGCTCTACTCGAAAGCAAAGGCGAAGACGGTACTGTTCGTGGCCTGAAAACAACCCGCTGTCTTCCTAGGTTCCGGGATGTTCACGATCTATTGGCTAATGTCCCGCGACCAACCCCTAGTATTGGAGATAAGGATAGCCAAGTTTGGTTGTTAGAATGGGATATAGTATCAACGTTCAGATTGATTAGTGTGGAATCGAGCGAACGCGGATTCCTATGCTTTCTGGACCCTCGGGACCCCAGCAAAGCCTTCAAGCACAATTGCCTGCCTTTCGGCCTCGTAACATCCCCGAGCGTTTTCGGGAGGCGAGCCTACGCTGTGTAAAAAGCCTATTGGACTATGCATTGTGAATGGTTGCCCCGGAGATTGTTACTACAATATTTCGAGCGATCGTATATGTGGATGACTATACGATGGCCACAAGCAAGGCGAGGTTCTGTCTGGTATTCAGCCTGCTCCTGGTGACAGCACTTGGAATACCTATTGAGCTGACGAAAACCCACGCTTTGAGGAGTGATGGAAGGATACTTGGCTATCGGGTGGATATCGGGGAGAATAACGATATCGAACTCAGCGTGCCGGTGACCAAAAGAGATAAGATAATCGCTGTGTTGCTATCCCATCAGCTATGTATACCGCGAGCAACGCTGGAGACGCTTGTTGGCCGCATAAACTGGTGTACAGGTTGGATTCCCGAAATACGGCCCAAATTGGATAAGCTCTATGAAGTACTGATGGTCCTGAGCCAGCGACCGTCTCTTCGGAGCGTCAGAATATTACCAACCAGGCGCCTAGAGCTACATAAGTCCGCCGAGACCTTCACTCACAGTCACAACAAACGTATTCCATACATTGACTACAAGGATGAGTATCTATTGGTGACCGATGCCTCTGGATGCGGTCTGGGTAGAGACTTCTTCCCACGATGCGATACTCAGAATCTAGGATAGTTTCCGATAAATATGGAGGAAAATCCCGAGATTTGGAGGCATATTTGGTATGAGCGCAGGAATCGGCTCGATGATCGACTTCCTGCCGAGCTGGAACCAGTGAAGTTCGTCAGCGGTGATAGTAATTTCCTCGAACTACTCGCAGTCTATTACGGCTGCGAGTACATCCGGGCAATATGTGCTCCGCGGGTGACTTACATCAGATGCTTCTCTGACAACACTTGTACGGTGTCAGTACTAAGAAGCTTCAGGTCGCGCTCTATGAGCCTTCCTTCCGTCGTTCGGAAATTCGGCGACTTCCGTTACCGACTCAATGCTCATCATATTGCCGGGACCTTGAACAGCATAGCTGATGATATCTCTAGGTTAACTCGTGCTTCGTTGGTATCCACCGGTCAAATGCCGAGGTCGTGGCGGGAGGTGCCACGTTAAGTCCTTAAAAAAGCTGTGGCGTTCACTCCTCTTCAAGTCTGTAAGACTTGTCAGAAGTTGTGACTCACGACTAACGTGGGTTCATAGTACTCGGTTTCTCGTTTGCGGACCCGACTGAGTTCCTGTCAATTTGAGTGGGCCCAACTAAAGGGATGCCAGATTTGTCCGTCATCGTTGGACCGCTACATTCCCCATGTCAGAAAACTCCGCCTTCACGAAATGGAACGAGATTCAGCCTGCACACGGTTCAGCTGAGGCTACTGCTCAGAATCTGGAGCTATTAGGGCTCTCGATAAGTGAGGACGCAAGAAGAGGCTACGAAAGGGTAAGAAGAGAGCTCTATGAAAGGGGATTGTTCTTCCCTCTCAACGCTGGTAAATTTATCCGATACATCGGATGCCTGTTGGATGTAACT